TCAAAAATCTCAAGCTTCCAGCAGCCCTGAAGCTGCTTTTACAACAAAAGAGAAAAAAAAAAAACAGATGGGTAAGGATCTAAGCAAGGGAGCTTCTGCTGACTGCCTTACAATTGTTTTTTCCACTTTAAAAGCTATAATGCTGGCCATACAAATAGACAATTTCCTAGCAATTTCCAGAACACTGAATTCGTTTTCTACTGCAAACATGATCAGATAGATCAAGGAAACTTATGAACATACCTGCTATTATAATTTAAATGATCACTGTAATATTCGATGCAACTGCAGTGATAGCTGCTATCTTCTAGGTCATATGCCAAGTGGCTTCCCATCTGCACTCTGACCACAATGGTCACTCACTTAGCAGTACGCCTTCTATTTTTTCAATGAATACAGGGCATCTCCTATGCACACTGACCACAGGTGGTTGCGCGTATGGCGCTGCCTCCATTCACAGAACACCTTGATTTTTCAATGGATACAAAGCATTGTTTAATTGGAGAAGGTGGAGATTGCCCTCCTTTCCACCTCGTACAATAAGGGAACACCTTAATTAAAAAAAAAAAATACCAGGCATTCATTTGAACAAGCAACCCTCTGTGGTCAAAATGCAGCTGGGAAGGTGCTCGGCAGAGAACCTGGAAGATCTGAAGCACCAACTAGTACAATGATTGTTAACTTCCCCAGTGGATGCTTAGGAATGAGATACTGCATACTTACATTGGTCCAGCTTGGCATAATGAAAATATTCATAAGGATTATACCTGGAGTTCAGCTTTAAAAGTAGTAGACATTTGCATAAGTCTATTAGTAGTAATATATTCCACCATGTAAAGTTTTATTTATTACAGGTACTTATATAGCATCATCAATTATAAGCAACACTTTACACACATACAGTGAGGAGCAGAAGTATTTGAACACCCTTTTGGGCAGCACAGTGGCTAAATGGTTAGCACTTTCACCTGGCAGTACTAGAGTCGTTGGTTTGAATCCCAGCCACAGCACCTCCTGCCTGGAGTTTGCATGTTCTCCCTGTGCCTGCGTGGGTTTCCTCCGGGTACTCCGGTTTCCTCCCACACTCCAAAGACATGCTGGTAGGTTAATTGGTTCCTGTCTAAATTGGCCCTAGTATGTGTATGTATGAATGTAAGTTAGGGACCTTAGATTGTACACCCCTTGAAGGTTAGGGATTGATGTGAATGTACAATATATATATAAAAGCGCTGCGTAAATTGACAGCGCTATATAAGTACCTGAAATAAATAAATAAACACCCTGCGATTTTGCAAATTCTCCCACTTAGAAATGGAGGGGTCTGAAATTCACAAACAAATTCAGGAAATCACACTGTATGATTTTAAAGAATTTATTTGTCTTGCACTGCTGAACATAAGTATTTGAACACCTAAGAAACAGCAAAAGACGCCAGAGACAAAATTGCCAAGCAGCTTGGTGAAAATAGATGAACTGTTGGAGCAATTGTTAGAAAATGGAAGAGGCTAAAGACTACTGTCAGTCTCCCTTGGACTGGGGCTCCATGCAAGATCTCACCTCGTGGGGTATCACTGATGGTAAGAAAGGTGAGGAATCAGCCCAGAACTACAAGGGAGGAGCTGGTCAATGACATGAAGAGAGCTGGGACCACAGTTTCAAAGGTCACTGTCGGTAGAACACTATGCCGTCATGGTTTCAAATCATGCATTGCACGGAAGGTTCCCCTGCTTAAGTCATCACATGTCCAGGCCCGTCTGAAGCTTGCCAATGACCATCTGGATGATCCAGAGGAGGCATGTGAGAAAGTCATGTGGTCAGATGAGACCAAAGTAGAACTTTTTGGTCTAAACTTCACTCGTCGTGTTTGGAGGAAAAAAAAGGATGAGTTGCATTCCAAGAATACCATCCCTATGGTGAAGCATGGGGGTGGTAACATCATGCTTTGGGGGTGCTTTTCTGCAAAGGGGACAGGACGACTGCACTGTATTAAGGAGAGGATGAATGGGGCCATTTATTGTGAGATTTTGAGCAGCAACCTTCTTCCCTCAGTCAGAGCATTGAAGATGGGTTGTGGCTGGGTCTTCCAACATGACAACGACCCGAAGCACACAGCCAGGATAACCAAGGAGTGGCTCCGTAAGAAGCATATCAAGGTTCTGGAGTGGCCTAGCCAGTCTCCAGACTTAAATCCAACAGATCATCTTTGGAGGGAGCTGAAACTCCATGTTGCTCAGCGACAGCCCCGAAACCTGACAGATCTAGAGGAGATCTGTGTGGAGGAGTGGGCCAAAATCCCTGTTGCAGTGTGTGCAAACCTGGTCAAGAACTACAGGAAACGTTTTGACCTCTGTAATTGCAAACAAAGGCTTCTGTACTAAATATTAACACTGATTTTCTCAGGTGATCAAATACTTATGTTCAGCAGTGCAAGACAGATAAATTCTTTAAAAATCATACAATATGATTTCCTGAATTTTATTTTTAATTCTGTCTCTCAGAGTGGGAATGCACCTACAATGTGAATTTCAGACCCCTCCATGATTTCTAAGTGGGAGAACTTGCAAAATCGCAGGGTGTTCAAATACTTCTGTTCCTCACTGTAGTACATTCACATCAGTCCCTAACCATCAAGTAGTGTACAATCTAATGTTCCTAACACACATTCATATATACACATACTAAGGCCAGTTTTAACCTATCAGCATGTCTTTGGACTGTGGGAAACAAGCAAACTCCTGGTAGGTTGTGCCATGGTTGGGATTCAAACCAAAAACCCTAGTGCTGCTACCGAAGTGCTAACCATTTAGCCATCTTCCATTTGTGGACATTGGGTTTACTTCTGTGATCTCCACAGTTTTCTTGGTTTGTAGTGCATAACATCAAAAATAAGAAATGGAGCTTCGAGTCTTATTTTTGAGAAGTTTAGACTGGAAAGAGCCATTTAATGTGACATCAGCAGATGATGTAAGAAGAGAGCCAAAGAAACCCAATCCCCTGTCACTATAGAACTTTTTCTGTAAGCGTAGAACACATTTCAAGTTTACAGAAAAAAAGTTCTTAGCTATACTTTCTCAACCTTTCTACCCTAGAGGAAGCTGTGAAATCATTTTTAGGTTTCAGGGAGCCCTTGCTAAAACCAATTCATTGACGGTAAGTGGGTGGAATGCCCCTTATATTAGTAGCCAGTAAAAATAATGACACCCTTACAGATAGCTAAAAAGATCATTGGTGTCATGCAGCCAGCACTGCCAAGTGGAGTTGACCTAGGGAATAGCTAATCACCATCAAATGAGAGGTCGATTAGCCACAGTGGGGATACACTGGATGCCTTCATCTGGCATTGTGCATCTGCTAGGAGTCCGTGCATCCCTGTGCCTTTTAGGAGGGGTGGGCTCCCTCTAGGCAAGCTTGCTCTTAATCTATCCACTGCTATCTGTGCTCCAACGTGGGAGTCTCTCAAAACTATAGAGTTAGGATCACAGTATACAGAGAAGCCTTGACATAGGCACTGTGGCTTACACATATATTTGCAAATGTGTACAACTAAAACCTACGTTTTAACATGAACTGTTAGACAGGGACAAAAGAAATGTGTAAAAATTACACAGAACATCCAGCACTCCTCTGTACTGTGTAGCAACAATTAGTCCATGGATAAACACACTAACAGTCTGTCGTATAGCAGCAATTACTGCAATAGTAGATGAATGGTAGAGGAGTGGATGAAAGGATGGATGGATTATGGATGAATGAATGAACAGATGGATGGAACGTGGTTCGCCTCTGCAGCTCTCGAGAGATCTGGGCAAGACCACCTTATAAAGCAGGAAATAGCAAAAAGCAGTGAGCTGAGGTTAATATCAAGCGAAAAAAACACCTTTATTAAAAGCAGCACACTTACATATCACAATTCACCAATCCACCAGTGGATAATGGCACAACAGGTCGAAACACCAGATCTGATCTGCTGAAGGTACACAGAGGCAATAAATGGCCACCAAACATGCATTTGAAAAAGAGGGCTATGACCCTTAAAACAAATTATGCTTTCCCCCCCTGACATCACCTAAAAGATGCATTTGAAAAAGAGGGCTGAGACCCTTGAAACGCGTTATGCTTGCCCCCCTGACATCACCTAAAAGATGCATCTGAAAACGAAGGCTGAGACCCTTGAAACGCATTATGCTTGCTTCCCCCCTGACATCGCCTAAAAGATGCATTTGAAAAAGAGGGCTGAGACCCTTGAAACGCGTTATGCTTGCCCCCCCTGACAACACCTAAAGGATGCATTTGAAAAAGAGGGCTGAGACCCTTGAAATGCGGAGGTGCTCTATTTTTGGTATACGGTATGCCTGTGATTGTCTTCTTACTATAAGTACATTACCATATTAAATGCCCTTGATTTTAACATACTACACTATGGTGGTCCCTGATTTTTTAACTCCTCTGTGCTGAGCACACTTACGCAGGATCATATCTAGATGGAGTGGGATATCAAGGCACTTTATGATCTCTATGTGTGATCAGTGTATCTGGTAAGGAGTTTGCCTTACAAGTGGGTGGTGTGATTTTCTGGCACCCTCTATTCCTGCAGCACTGAAAGCTCTCCGTCTCACGCTATGAAGTGTGTCTTCCTTTCCTTTGGGATTTTCCATCTTGATTTTGGACTGTTCGCCAGGATATTTATCCATCTTGTATGGACATTTTGCATGTTTGTTTGCTTTATTCATCTTTATTATTTTTGTTTGTTATATTGAATAACATATTTTTATTTATGCATGTTTATTTATTATTGTTCATATGTACATTTGTTCATCTGCATGTATATACATTTCTTTTTGTTTATTTCTACTTTGAGAGTGGAGTATTGGGTTTTATTATATACACTTTACACTATTATTATTTCTTTATAAAATAATATGGTTTGCTATAGTTATAGTGTATGCAGGGCTGGTGCTTCCACTAGGCAAACTAAGCAGCCGCCTAGGGCACACTGCCACCTATGGGCGCCTGGGCGCAGCAAAGGTCAGCACTCTCTCTGTGTGGGACACTGCCACGTCATGAATAATCCTCCAGCTGAGGGGAGAAGAAGCAGAGGGGAGGAAGAAAGGACAGAGGAAGATGCATGTCTGGGGCCAGTGTAGCAGCTGAGCTGCCATTCCTTCCAGTGTTCCTCTCAGATGTAGTCCCTTACTGCAAGCCGGCTGACGGCTGCTGATCACTGTTGAGTTCCAGCACTTCTCTTCCCATTCATCAGCAGAGGTGGAGCTTCACCTGCAGAGAAAGGTAATGTCTGACTCTGATGTCTCATGTCATGTATGAGTGTGAGCCAGCCAGCCATCCATCCAACACATGTGCAATGTGTTAGTGAGTGATGACATCATCACGATCCCAAATCCTGCTCTTCTAGTGTCTGCTGGGCCTGCTGATCTGTCTCAGTGTTGGTGGTGAGTTGTGTCAGATCTGTCACTGTGTGGGATCCCTCAGTTCTCGTGTTCTCTCTGTGTGTGTGGGCTGGGATGTCAGCTGTCACAGCGTTTTATCTCCCCTCATTGCCTGGGGAATTCTAGCCTGGGATCTGTCAGAGTGTGGATCCATCATCCTTCACTGACTACAACTGTCACCCTGCTACTGCCAGCCACAGAAATAGTCCGTCCGTGGCACTGATTTTTGTTTTTAATATTGGTGCTGGTGGCATCTTATGGCACCTATTTTTGCAAATGAAATAAATTTAGCAGTTTCATGTTTTGTTGATTTACCATTTACTATTGTTTTACATTTTTTTTATTTTTTTTTGGAGAGGCGCAAGTAGCTGGTCTTGCCTAGGGCACAAATTAGTCTAGCACCGGCCCTGATTGTATGCACAATTGTACTTCGGAATTTTTAAGAGCCAACATACCCCTTTTTGTTAATTAGCTGGTAAGTGTGCTGGGACATTTTTATTTGCTTGTGATGAGCCACAGCTCAAGGAACCCCTAGCAACCCCTGGAGGTTCCATGGAACCTTGAGTGAGATCAGCTGCATTATGTAATATTCAGAGTCACTAAGTTAGCAAAGACTCTGTGTTTATTCAGATTGTTGCTATTTCCTTCCAAGATCCAAAGAAATACAAATTATCGTCATAGTAAATTGTCCATTTCGTATGTGATTGTGTGTCTGTGGTAGGGTACAGAAATGAGATTATATACAATGGGGAAGAATATAACATGCTTGGACACAGTTGTCAGGATGTAGAATATATATTACTACTCCTAGTACCAATATGTACAATAGTTTTGGTTTGTGAAAGTTAACTTGCTTCAGAAATATGACTTAAATCCCTGACAAGGGGATACTTCATGCCAGTTTTCTGTAACTTGGAGACATTTCTGCAGATTGTTAGACACTGGATGTAATTTATTGCACTCGGTTAGCTAAAAGCTAATGAGCTCATCTTGTACCATACGGAGCAGCTAGCATTTCCTTTTCAGAAGTGCAGGGATCTAGTGGTGAATCAGTGTCTAGCTCCGCTCTCTGTGCTTTATCCTCTCAGATGAAAAAAATCTGCTGACAAAACTCTGTAAGAATTCAGAACTGGGAACTAAAACCCAGATTTGTACTTTTCTTTTTTGGACAGGATGCAATGTGTGTCATTGCATTTATTAAGAAGTGTCTAATAAAATTGTCATAACAAATGTGAATTACTAGTTGGTTCATGTTTAAAGTATGTCTAACTACAAAACTTATTTGTTTTAGTTTTGGATAGAGTAGGGAACTGTTTAAACTCTGGTTAGTTTTTATTTCTGTCTGAGTCCCTTTTGAGAGATTTAATTCCTGTCCCACTGTCCCAACAGGAAGTGAGAGGAAATTTCCCCTAGAGGAAGGAGACAGCTTCTCTTAGGGCAGTTTTTTAACTGTTTTTGATGCGATCTGGTGCAATTTTGATGTGTTCCAGTTCATTTTTTACCCTTTCTTAACCTCCCTGGCGGTATGATTATTTCATATTTTTGGTGCTGAAAGCGGTACCATTTTTTTGCATGGAAATTTGGCGTTTTATATTGTAGGCCTGTATTTTTAGGAATAACTCACTGAAATCTGTCCAAACAAGAGTCTAGTAAACATTCCGGGCAGGATAAAACTTGAAACACAAAATCCTAAATTAGAATCAAACCAAAAACACTGAAATTTGAAATATAGCGCCAAGTTCACACATCACTGAGCAAAGTCCCAAAATCGTTTTCAGTGTCTGATGATGAATTTCCCCACAAATCATTATCACTCAATTCTGCAAGTGGTTCTGATTTACTATCGCTGTTGACCTAAAGTGACGCTTTTTGGACGCCATGGACTTTTCTAAGTTTCCAGGCATAAAGAACAGTAAAAATGTAGGCAGGGCACAGGACAAAGCACTCGGGACAAAATGTATGTAAAATGCTTTGAAACAGTAATGTTTTACTATGTCATTTTCGTCTATTAGAAAATGACAGTTTCTAAAATTCCGGAACACGGAAGCCAGATGCCGGAATCGGCCGGAGGAGATGGCTTGGGACACTGCAGGGGACGCATTGCGGGAGCGAAAGACAAGGTAAGCGCAGCAGGGAATCCCTATGCAACGCCGCATGGTAAGCCCGAGTGTAGCTCGGGGATACCGCTTGTGGTACTGAAATTTTACCCCGAGCTACACTCAGGAATACCGCCAGGGAGGTTAATCTTCAATTCAAATAGGTACATGTGCGTTCCAGTGCGCTTTTGGTGGGTTTTGAAGTGTTTCAGCGCATTCTGGTGCATTTTTTATGCGTTTTACCACTTTCCAGTACAGTTCTGTGCAGGAAAAATGCAGCCTGTTCTACTTTTTTTTCCTGCAACCAGAACTCACTGGAACTGCAAGCACTGATGTGAACTATGACATTGGCAACCATATAATCTACTTTCTGTGCGTTTTGGATGCAGACAAAAAGCACACAGAAGCGCATGTAGTGTGAACTGGCCCTTAGACACTACATTATAATACAGGTGTCCCTATTAGGTGACTTTTCCTCGCATCCTGTTCTAGTGACATTTTGGACTTTTGACCCGCAGAAAATGGATGGTGGATCTTCCTTGTGGGGAAACACATAGCAGTGAAAACCTGACAAACATTTCATCACTTCATTCAGCAAATGTTTAAGCAGCAATAAATCCCAAAACAAAAATGTATTGTTTTGCAGTTCACCAATTCATCGATGTGGTGACCGAAGAATTTTTTTTGGCTTCCTTAATTTTTATCTGTAAATTCAACCAGTAATGGCTCAGGTCCACACATGGTGAGGACTGCTGCTCCTCCGACAAGTGATCCATGCTCAGATGGCCTTTCAAAGGTATTTGTCAGGTAATGAGCAGGCACTATGTCACCCCCCTAGTCACTTATTTTAACCCCCTAAATGCTGCACTACTGCACCAAAAATGCATGTACTGCATGCAGTTTTGCAGCTCTTACCCAATCACTTGCCAAACAAGACAGCTTGGACCCACTGCGCCAAAGATGAAAGGGGTTTAATTCCTGCCACGAAGCAAAGCATCATGAGCATGGCATGTGCACACCCTGGTTACCAACTTTGCAACTTAGGAGGGAGCTGCTGGGGGGGGAGATAAAAATACAGTCCAAGACCAAGCTGCCTAGTAAAACTGGCAATTAGAGGATTGAGACAAACCATTTAACACTGTCAGGGGTTCTTACAATGATAAGCTTTTATCCACTAATGCATAATCTTTATCTAAAAAGAAAAAACTGTTGCTGTAACTGCTTAAAACATGTTAGCTAATGTGTTAGTCAAGTCAATCTAAGTCTACTAGTGCATCTAGCAAAATTATATCCCCAAATTGACAATGCTGCTGTCAAAAATGTCTGTACTGTGTCTACAATGGTGTTGTCCCTAGCTCAGGAAGTGTGGTACTACCACATCTCCTAGATTGTAAGCTTCAAGGAGCAGGACCCTCCTGTCCAGGGGCGGACTGACCATTTGGGAACTCAGGCACTGCCCGAGGGCCTGGAGTCAGTACGGGGCCCCATGATATGCCCCTGGTACCTTTCATAGGCTTTTTTGGGTGTGGTTTGAGTGTGGGTGAGGACACAGAGGCCCCATGATTCCCTATTGCCCAGGGGCCCCATGAGTTGTCAGTCCGCCCCTGCTCCTGTTCCTCTTGTATTGAACTGTATTGTCTCCTGTATATTGTAAAGCTCTGAGCAAACTGTTGGCGCTATATAAATCCTGTATAATAATAATAATAATAGTCACCAGGTGAGATCTGGTCCCTTACTGTACTCAATGGGTTACTCCTATGTCCTGTAGTAAAGTAGGGTCCAGTGGAACAAACCACAGTGTGTGACCAGGACTAAAAATTTGACACTTCCAGAAGTGCCAGAGTCAGAAGATTCTCCAAGCGGCAGTTTGTCTGTGATAGAGAAGTAGTTAGAGGCACTGGCAAATGAAATAGTGAGTATTAAAAATTTTGGGGCTAATTTTTTTTGTAAATTTGACTAATTTAAAAAAATGCAAGCAGGCAGGCTTTTATTGCAGAAGAGAAAAACATTCACAAAGAAGTGGCTTGCCTTGGTGCCAGAATAAATTAAAGTGGTTGTAAACCCTTACATAATCCAAATTAAGTAACTGGTCTCAGATGATACACAGAGATAAAAAAAAACAAATTCCCCTGCATAAGTTGCACTTGTTTATCAGCATTTTTTTCTTCTTCTCTACATCGGTTCAAAGTCTAGCATTTATAAAGCTTGTCTGAGAGTTCAGTAAACAGGGCTGCAATTACACTCTCCAGAGCCCAGTGAGGAGAGCTGTGAGAGTTGATTGGAGGAAAGGATCCCCCCCCCCTTTACACAGCAAAAAGCTCCCTCCCTTGTCACCTTTTTTCTCTTGGTGTCAGGAAAACTTGTTAGAAGAGACAAGAGACAGGTGTCAGGAAAACTTGTCAGAGAGAATGGGACAACAGACAGAAATTACACATAGTCCTCTGAATGGAGACAAGTATAAACTAAAGAGGGATATGCTTTGTTCATATTTCATGTCTGAGGTTTACAACCACTTTAACGCCCATGTTCATGCATGCACAAGAGTTATGTTATTCTGGGCTGACCAAACAAGAGGGCAGAAGACCAGGCAAAGATGTCAGCACAGGCAAGGGAGCACGTAGGCTTATGGGTGTACTTTAGGTCCATTTTAATACACTTAGTAACTCATAAAACATTCACGCACACTATATTGCCAAAAGTATTGAGCCAGCCCTCCAAAGTATTGGATTCAGGTGTTCCAATCATCTCCATGGCCACAGGTGTATACAGTCCAGCGCCTAGGCTTGCAGACTGCTTCTACAAACATTTGTGAAAGAATGGGTCGCTCTCAGGAGCTCACTGAATTCAAGCGTGGTACCGTGATAGGTTGTCACCTGTGCAATAAGTCCATCTGTGAAATTTCCCTGCTACTAAATATTCCACGGTCAACTGTTAGTAGTATTATAAAAAAGTGGAAGCAACTGGGAACAACAGCAACTCAGCCATGAAGTGGTAGGCCAGGTAAAATGACAGAGCAGGGTCAGTGCATGCTGAAGCGCACAGTGCGCAGAAGTCGCCAACTGTCTGCAGAGTCAATAGCTAAAGACCTCCAAACTTCATGTGGCCTTCAGATTAGCATAACAACAGTGTGTAGAGAGCTTCATGGAATGGGTCTCCATGGCCGAGCAGCTGCATCCAAGCCTTACATCACCAAGTGCAATGCAGTCAGATACAGTGGTGTAACTGTACAGTAGTGGAGATGTATTCTCTGGAGTGACAATTCACGCTTCTCTGTCTGGCAATCCAATGGACGTATCTGGATTTGGCAGTTGCCAGGAGAACGGTACTTGTCTGACTGCATCATGCTAAGTGTAAAGTTTGCTGCAGGGGGGATTATGGTGTGGAGTTATTATTCAGGGGTTGGGCTTGGCCCCTTAGTTCCAGTGAAGGTGTCAGCATACCAAGACATTTTGGACAATTTCATGCTCCCAGCTTTGTGATAACAGTTTGGGGATGGCCCCTTCCTGTTCCAACATGACTGCGCACCAGTGCACAGAGCAAGGCCCATAGAGACATGGATGAGTGAGTCTGGGGTGGAGGAACTTGACTGGCCTTCACAGAGTCCTGACCTCAACCTGATAGAACACCTTTGGGATGAATTGGAGTGGAGACTGTGAGCCAGGCCTCCTCGTCCGACATCCTTGTCTGACCTCACAAATGGGCTTCTGGAAGAATGGTCAAACATTCCCATAGACACAATCTTAAACCTTGTGGACAGCCTTCCCAGAAGAGTTGAAGCTGTTATAGCTGCAAAGGATGGGCCACTCAATATTGATCATTGGGGGGGGGGGGGGGGGTATTCAGACAAACAAAAGTTGCTTTGTTACTTCTAGTGACAGATTGCATCATATTTGTCATTTTGGTTTGTCCTTTGGTACCACTTTCAGATGGACATACACTAAACAATCCAATTATATAATGACCTTTAGGCTGTCCATACACCATACAATATGACTGTACAATCTCTGTATAATTGATTTTGAATTTACCAAAAATGTCATAGAAGGACTCATCTAAAAAGTCCATTCAATTTCTATCAAATTGGGCAGGCCCTGTACTACATATATAGTGGCAGATCTAAAGAAGATTGTAGAATCAGATTGTATTGTATATGGTCACCTTTAGATCGACCAAAATTATGTAATATGAGGACAAACCTGAACAATTAATTCAATTACTAACACATCAGGCAGATGCCTGTACTATATAGTTGGTGGTAGATCATAAGCTCAACATACACTTTACAATCTGATTGTACAAACTCTTTTAAAGTGATTCTAAAAGCTTATTTATTTTTTTTTTTTTTAAAGAAAAAAAAACAAACAAGTCTATACTTACCTGCTGTGTGCGGTGGTTTTCCCCCACAGCGCAGCCTGGATCCTCCTCTTTTTGGGTCCCCCACAGGCTCTCCTGGCCTTTCCCTCCTGTCGGGTTCCCCCCACAACAAGCAGCTTGGCCTTTACAACCACTTTAAATCATTCAGATCAGGCAAGTATGACAGGTTTTATTTAAAAAAATGACCTTTAAAATCACTTTAAACATGGTCCATGCAGAATAAAAACTCACTGGACTGCATCTGGTGTGAACCAGCACTAAAGGAGACCGTACAATCAGATTGTATAGTGTATGATCAGACTAAAACAGCAGCCATCATAGGACACTAGGTCAGTAGGTAAAGTTATAGAAATGTCAGGTATTCACTTTTCTGTGCAGTTCTTACTTGTATGTGTTGTTATTAGATGTTTATAAACATTGAGAAACATGCCAACTGTAAAATATAATAAGATCATCTGACATAGATCTGTGTTACACACTGTATAGTATAAATCAGGTTTAAAGAGTGCAGCCAGCACCTCTATAGCCCCCCCTCCCAGTTGGTGCAGATGACAGTGTGCAGACCCCCCCCAGATGTCAGTGTGCAGTGCCCCCCGGATGACAGTGTTCAGTGCCGCCCCCCAGATGTCAGTGTGCAGTGCCTCCCTCAGATGTAAGTGTTCAGTGCCCCTCTCCCCAGATCACAGTGTGGCAGTGCCCCCCTCCCCCCAATGACAGTGTGCAGTGTCCCCCAGCTGACAGTGTTCAGTGTCCCCCAAGATAACAGTGTGCAGTGCCCCCCCCCCCATGACAGCATGCAGTGCTCCCAGATGTCAGTGTGCAGTGCCTCCCTCAGATGTAAGTGTTCAGTGCCCCTCCCCCCAGATCACAGTGTGGCAGTGCCCCCCCCCCCCCAATGACAGTGTGCAGTGTCCCCCAGCTGGCAGTGTTCAGTGTCCCCCAAGATAACAGTGTGCAGTGCCCCCCATGACAGCATGCAGTGCCCCAGATGTCAGTGTGCAGTGCCTCCCTCAGATGTAAGTGTTCAGTGCCCTTTCCCTCAGATCACAGTGTGGCAGTGCCCCCCTCCCCCCAATGACAGTGTGCAGTGTCTCCCAGCTGACAGTGTTCAGTGTCCCCCAAGATAACAGTGTGCAGTGCCCCTCTCCTCTATGACAGTGGGCAGTGCCCCCCAGATGTCTGCACGTAGTGTCCCCCCCAGATGACAGTGTGCGGTACCCACCCATGACAGTGGGCAGTGCCCCCCCAGATGTCAGTGTGCAGTGCCCCCCCAGGATGACAGTGTGCAGTGCCCACCCAGATGTCAGTGTGTAGTGCCCCCCAGGATGACAGTGTGCAGTGCCCCCCCCCAGATGTCAGTGTGCAGTACCCCCCCAGATATCGGTGTGCAGTGCCCCCCTATGACAGTGTGCAGTGTCCCGCCATGACAGTGTGCACCCCCCCCAGATGTCAGTGTGCGGTGCAGCTCTCCCCCAGATGTCAGTGTGCAGTGCCCCCCCCCCCAGATGCAAGTGTGCAGCGCAGCTTCCCCGCAGATGTCACTGTGCAGTGCCCCCCCCAGATGTCAGTGTGCAGTGCCCCCTCCCCCCAGATGCAAGTGTGCAGTGCAGCTTCCCCGCAGATGTCAGTGTGCAGTGCCCCCCCCCCAGATGTCAGTGTGCAGTGCAGCTCCCCCCTCCCCCTAGATGTTAGTGTGCAATGTCCCCCCAGATGTCAGTGTGCAGTGCCCCCCCAGATGTCAGTGTGCAGTGCCCCCCCCCATGTCAGTGTGCAGTGCCCCCCCAGATGTCAGTGTGCAGTGAGTGCCCCCCCAGATGTCAGTGTGCAGTGCCCCCCCCCCCCCCAGATGTCAGTGTGCAGTCCCCCCCCCCCCCCAGATGTCAGTGTGCAGTGCCTCCCCCCAGATGTCAGTGTGCAGTGCCTCCCCCCAGATGTCAGTGTGCAGTGCCTCCCCCAGATGTCAGTGTGCAGTGACCCCCCCCCCAGATGTCAGTGTGCAGTGCCTCCCCCCAGATGTGAGTGTGCACATGGGGATTGTAGTGGTGATGCAGGATACTCGGTTCTCAGTGGTGATGAGGACAGCCGTGTCTGGTGCTCATGCAGTACTTACTTCCCGGTGATGAACTGACTCCTGGAGGGGGAGCAGATCGGCTGGACATAGTAGTTCTCCAGCTTGACTCCCTCTGCCGCCAGTGTATCCAGTGTGGGAGTCCTGATCTCCGATCCATGGTACCCAATGTCCCTGTATCCCTGATCATCAGCCAGGATGAAGATGATATGAGGCTGCTCCCCCAGCTCTCTGCCCCCCAGTCTCTTCTTCTTCGTCCTCCACACCTAGGTTGCCTTTGTCCAAGGACAGGTAGCCATAGGTCATGATGCTGACCATAGACAAGGCGGCCAGTGCCCCCAGCCCCGGCATTTTCACCCAGCCAGCCTGCCCCATTCAAGGCTGAGTCAGGGGTCAGCCCAGCATAGCCGAGTAGCCATGTGCTGTGTAGGGGTCAGGAAAGTGACCATTTGTCCTCCCCACCCCCACCCTGACCTCAGTTTAGGTGAGTCACTACCCAGCTCCCTGCCTCTCCAGGACCCAGCAGCAGTCCTGATAAAAGTTCCTTATTCCTGCTCTAGTCCGACCTATCCCTGCTATACTGTCCTCCCTGCTGTACACAGCATCTGGCTGTTCTTGGCAGGCTGTCCTCTGCTCCCCACTCCATCCTGGTGCTTTGCTGCCACCCAATAACTTGGAGTGTCTCTCAGTCCCCTCAGGCTGAAGTCCCTTCCATCTGAGCAGGGCTGGGCTTTCTGCATCCAGCAGGCTGAACACATGGACTGCTTGATGCCAGGCAGATGGAGAGAAAGGCACAGGAGACTTTACAAACTTCTCATGGATGTCTGAGCTCCAGCAAGTCAGGGCTGCCTGCACACTCTCCTCTTCTCCTCCCTTGGATGTGCTGAATAATGGAATTGTCTGGGGAACTTGTTCCCCTTCCTGCTGCATGGGGAGGTGAGACTGAGCCTCTCTGTCTCCAAACTATACCACCCTCCTATCTACTCCTACAGCACACTACATGTCTACAGAAACTCGTGCACTGCTTGGAAACATCCGAAAATAAACACTTTAGACAACGCAGATCCACAGAGATTAAGGCAGTTACACTAGTTGATCATATCTGACATTGTTGCTGCAATATCCAAATGCTACATTTATTTGGGATTTCTTCCTCCTTGCTTTCTCACAGAGTCCATGGCAGGACAGCACATGAGATCCCTTTTTGGAGAACAGCTGGCTCATGTCTCCTAATTGTGGCTATAACCCCTAGAAATTCCATAGATAACCCACAGAGATGGATTTTCGATTTAGAAACATAGAAACGTGACGGCAGAAAGAGACCGAGTGGTCCATCAGGTCTGCCTAGTTTTTTTTTTTTTTACTTTGTGTTGTTAACATTTGGGTTGTTAACTTTTTTGTCCACGTATAGATCTATGCTTGTCCCAAACATGTTTGAAGCTATTTACTGTTCACTGGCTCACTACCTCTGCTGGAAGTGTATTCCAAGTATCAACTACTCTTTCAGTAAAATAGTACTTTCTGAGATTAGTTTTGAACTTTCCTCCAGTTAGTTTAACCATTTCCAGACCGCCCTATAACATAAATACTGCTACAGGGCGGCATGGGTGTGCAAAATCACATATATATATATATATATATATATATATATATATATATATATATATATATATATATATACGTGATTTCGCATTTTTAGGTGGGGGCACACAAGCGCTCTACCCGCACTGCCATTCGTGGCCACAGCTGGGTCCCACCCAGTGATTGCTGAGGATCTCCGACGGTGAAGAGAACTGTTTGTAAACAAAACAGTTCTCCTCCCTGTCAGTTCATGCACACTGCTTTGGATGGTTGTGCACAGCACAGCCATCCAAAGCAGTGTGCTTACAGTAAAGCACAAACAAACAGCCCCATAGT